TCAACCAACAGAGACACTCAACCAACAGAGAGACAGCTCAGCAACAGAGACAGCTCAACCAGCAAAGAGACACTCACCCAACAAGAGACAGCTCAATCAACAGAGATACTCAGCCAACAGAGACACTCAACCAAGAAAGACACTCAACCAACAGACAGTCAACCAACAAAGACACAGCTCAACAACAGAGAGAGAGCTCAGAAACAGAGAGAGCTCAACCAGCAAAGAGACACTTATCCAACGAGAGACAGCTCAACCAACAGAGACACTCAACCACCAGAGAGACAGCATAGCCAAGAGACAGCTGAACCAACAAAGACACTCAACGAACAAAGACACAACCCCTCCAAGACTGTCCCGAGGGGGCCGGGGGCACAGGTGCTGGCCTTGGACGCTGGGTTGGCCGGGGCTGAAGCCGTCTGCCTGCCCCGCAGCGCTCTGGCCAGAGTCGGGGCCTCTTCTGAACACTCAATGTCGTCACGCACCACACACAGGGAAACGAAATCCCATTGAAAAGAGAGAAACACGTCTCCACTTTCCGGGGGACCTCATTTGTTTTATTGTTTTTTTCTTTTTGTATTCGGCAAAGATAATAATTTGTTTGGAAGAAGGCTCGGAATAGAAAATTTTCAGCAAAGAGATGAATTATTCATTTTTACCGAGCGCACGATGGCGGGTTTCTGGGACTCTGTCGAGCTTGGCAGAAATCCATCTCCGTAATTATATGTAAAAATATTTGGACAGGAAAGGATTGCCGCGTTCGGCATCTTGGGAGTCACTCATCCTGTGATGGAGATGACGGCGACCGCGCGGTGCTTTCAGTGGGATCTTTCTTCTATTAAAACAAAACAAAACACGGTGGGGGAGCTGCAACGCTGGAAATCACTTTGCCTGTGCGTTCCCGCGTCAACGGCACGATACTGTGTAAGCAAATCCAGCTCGGCCACTTTCCATTCCGAATGTCCCTCGGAAGGGAGAATGTCAGCGGTGCATTCCGGGGCCCTGTGCACATGCAGAGCTGTCATCCCGATCGGGAGGGCGATTTTGCTTCCACGCCAGGGAGACAACAGCTGAGAGACAGCTGGGGCCTTCCAGGATGTGCACAATGTTCCGGGGAGGTGATTTACTTGTTCTTGGGTAACCTCCCTGCACAATAACGAAGTCCCTCTGGCATAATAAGCCGAGCACGATCCCTTCCAGCTCCACCCACGTCGCTGTGAGTGGCGTGGATTTGTCTTTTTGATGGCCGTGTAGTATTCCACTGTGCGTACAGGACACTGTTGCTGATCCAGCCGTCTATTTCTGGAGTATCTGGGTCATCTCCATGCTTTGCTTCCTATAAATAATGGTGCGATCAATACAGGGGCGCAGGTGTCCTGGTGAATTCACGCGTTTCTGCCCTGTGAGTAGCTTCCTAGGGCTGCAATGGCTGTGTGCTACGGAAGCTCCACGTTTGGTCGTTTCCGGCAGCTCCACACAGCTTTCCACGCTGGTCGAGCCGGGTTGTATTCCCACCAGCCGTGCCGCAGACTTGCTTTCTCCCTGTGTTCCAGGGCACCCCAATGTGAATCGGGCTGCCTGTCTGTGGGTCTTGACCCGTGCGCTTACGATTCCATCGTGTTATGGACACACTCAAAAGGTTAAATAATGGATTTATTTATAAGGAGAAAGGTAAAGGAATAACCCAGGGTACCTGTTACACCTTCATCTAGCACCTTGTTCCTTCTGTGACCAAAACTCTCCCGCCCCAGAAACACCACCTACCCCACAAGGAACGGGGAGCTGGATGCGGCTGCCACACCAGAGTCCAGGGGGTCCCCCAGAACTCACCTTTGGGCAGAGAACTAGGTGCTTTGATTGCGAGCGAAGCCGTGCACTTCCCTGCAGGCTTCACCCGTGTTTCCAACAGCTGCTCCGCCTTGGAGAAAACCGGCCACTCGTGGGAGCTGCGAGGTTGTGTGGCTGAAAAAGGGCAGCGGCGTGCGCATCCCGGATCCCCGCGTGACCCTGTGGAGCCGACAGCCGGCTTATGTGTGGGAAGAGCTTCCTCCCCGCCAGCCATGGCCAGTTTCCATTGTCCCGTTGCAACAATGTTTCTGCTGAGTTACACGACCTGACTCATTGCCAGTCGGTCCCGGTGGACTATGTTCATGGAAACTCTCATATCACTGCTTGTAGAAAACAGCGTTTTACCTTGCGCCGCTGCGGCTTCCAGCTTGGTCCTCTGGATTCCTCGCGCCTCCAGCTCTCCGCAGTCTCCGTCTCCCTCCGTCCCAGCTGCCTCCTTCGGCACCATCCGCCCCAGCTCCATCCAGCACGGTGTGGCAAGAGTTTTAGCTCGACTATATTTTTGAGTGAGAAACAACACAACATTTCATGCAGGGCGTGACCATTCCTGCAGGCAGGAAACATCCCTCTGAAGACCTGCCCGAAGCAAGGGGTCTGGTTAATCAGGTTTTTCTGCACTTACATTTCCGAGCACCAGGATTCCTCTCCCCCAACATTCCAGCCTGTCTGTGCCTTGCAACAGAGCTCATTAGCATTAGAAGTGCAAGAGGCCCCTGTTTCACTGCAGGGTGACCGAGAAATGCCAGGAGGATCATCAGCTCGAAGGAAAAAAAAAAAAAAAAACCCCCGCTGGCTCCATGGCCAGTTTCGACTAATTAGTCTTCGGTTTTATGTTTGAAAAATGGGTGTGGAGGAGCATGAAATGCTGTCGCACTACGTTGGTGGGAATTTAGAACTGGTTTGTTTAAGTGCGGGACAAGTAGAAATTTGCATTAGAAAATTACTTGAAAGCAATTTATCAAGTTGCTGTTGTGCCACAAACTTGCCAAAACATATTTTTCAGTACAAATTAGAACTTGCTTTCACTATGGAGAATACAGAGATTCATGCTGAATTGCCCCCTCTTTGGTTAAAAAAAAAAAAAAAACAGGGCCCTCCCTGGTGGCGCAACGGGTTAAGTCTCTGTACCAGGGAGCTATGGAAGGGTCTGAGGGGACCCCGGGACTCGGCAGACCCCTCCTGACCCCCCACCCCCCGCTCCCCTCAGCAGTGGATATCTGTCCACCTGCCTGCTCTGCTCCCCGCTCTGTCTCTGGTGAAGCCTCTCTGGCCTGCACCCCACTTCGACAGGCATCAATAAATAAAGCTTTTTAAACAAGATATCGGAGGGATTTCTATCTACGGGTTTTATTCTTCCTCAGCCTGGCCTCTCGCCCCTGTAAGAACTGTTTTTTCCTGCCAGTGAACGAACCTGCAGCGACTAATTCTGTTCGTCCTGCTTCTCCGTCACATCAGGCCTCCAGTCGCCCACCTCAAGCCCTGGTAGCCATCACCAGATGCCCCATCTGTGACTTTCAGGTTGTATAGCCCACGTCAAAGGCAGACGATTCTTTATCTGTCTCGCGCTGTCTGATTTGTCTTATTGAGCATAAGGAGTTCAAGGCTCACCAGAGTGGCCCAAAGAGGCAAGATTTCTTCCCTCTTCCTGGCTGTATAATAATCCATCGTGTGGATGTGTAGGAACATAGGTGTTTCCTGTATTTTCTTATCCACCCAGTGGTGTTAACTGTGTGAGTTAATGCTGTGTGAGTGTCACTGCTACAAATCCAGCATTTCATTTCACCCCACGTGGAAACCCCACACCCAAGCCATCGCTGCCCATTCCACCTCCCCCCAGGCCCTGGCAACCAACAATCCTTGTTCACTTTTCCTTTTCTGGACATTTTCTACGGATCAGAGTCAGAGTCATAAACTATGTGAACGTCTGTGTCTTTCTTCTTCTGTTCAGCGGGTTTTCAGATTACCAGTCAGAGCCTGTTCACGGCTGTATACTATTCTGCCGCGTGGACCAGACTGCCTTTGGCTTTCACTGGCAGGTGTGGGTGCGCATTTGGGATGCGTCCACTCTCGTGATGTGATAAGTAGCATGTCTAAGTCCCTCCTGGCGCATATCTTTCTTGGGGTACCTGTCTCCGTTTCATTTGACGATCATCATTTGGAGTAAACAAATCTAATTTGCAATTAAAAGCCGTTCCCCGAGGCACGGCTGACAAACACGTTGGTTGCAAGAATCTTATGAAAAAAATGAGCGTGGAATAAAGCATAGCAAGTACATGTAAAAATCATCTGGAAATTAGAAGAGTGGGGAAACTTTCATTTTATGAGGCTGCTATTGCACAAAAAATTAAAAGACTATAATAGCCGGAGACTCCAGTGACTCTAGGTGTAGGTACGGTCATGAAAATATGACTCAGTAGCACCAATGAAGGACAAAATCGCTCTATTGTGGCCAGGCCGGGTGAAGATGAGTTTAATTCTCAGCCATTCGGAGTTGTGCATACACATACGAGCAGCATGAAAGCTAACAAATAGGACAAAATCAGAATTATTTGCGAGAATAACAATTATTTGCTAATTGTCTGCTAGTAGCAATCATTTATTAACAATCGTTTGCTAACTGCCGGTCCCAATTATTTGCTAGAAAACAGCGAAATCCAAACATAGCACCTACAGATAGATCCGTTCTCGGAGAAATTACTTGCGACCTTGGGTTAGGAGCAGGGTCGTCAGGTTGGGCACAGACACAGCAAATGGGCCAGAAAGAAATGGGGTGATGAGTTCTGTGTCATCAGCATTACAGTTTCCATCAAAAAAAGAAGCACACGCTGTAATGAATGTCGTGTCTTCAAGCAAAGAAGTAGGAGAAAAAATGGTTCAAAAAATAAATAGCAATCACTGGCACGTAGGGAGAACGCCACATAACAGTTAAAAAGCAAACAAAGGACATTTAAACGGCTTAGTGACAGGTTGCTGCAACAGGTTTGCCTGGAGACTCCCACAGGTTGGCTCTTCGCAGGACCTGTCCCCTCGGTCTGTGGAACGAGGTCCGCCTGGGACCTGTGGGTGGAGGGGAAATTACCATTATTTCAAAACCGCCCGATTTGCGGCCACCACTCCACTGAGGCAGCCTTTACTCGGCGCCAGGCAGACAGGTAGAGAAGGTTTGTCCCTGTGAACAGAAGTCTCCTGTGTTGCTACCGCTATGACCTCCGAGGATGCAGGTAAGCCCTTTGGGGTAGCCCCAAAATACAGAAATGCCCAAGAGACAGCCATGCTGCAGTCAACATGTTCCAAGTCATGGCCACACCCTCAGAGTCCCAAGACCAATGAGTGGATTAAAGAGATGCAATCAGCACACGCCGTGGAATACTACACGGCAATGAAAAAGGTGGTCCCCCGCCCTTTGCGACCACACAGAGGGATCTAGAGGTTATCACGCTCGAGACCAATGAGTGGACTAAAGAGACGCAATCAGCACACACCGCGGAATACTACATGGCAATGAAAAAGGTGGGATCCCGCCCTTTGCGGCCACACAGAGGGATCTAGAGGTTACCACACTGACTGAAATAAGCCAGTTGCAGACAGAGAAATGCCGGGTGATTTCGCTCATGTGGTGCCTGGAGACGCAGAGCACCTGCGTGGATCGCATAGAACAAAACCAGCCGTCTGGACGACCGGACTCAGGTCTCGGCATTTGGCATCCACCGCGCTGACCTCATCTACCCAACGGTCGTGAAGTCCCATTTGCCTGAAGACTATAACTCAGGCACCATCGGCCTCCAAAAATGCCCCCCTGCCCCCGGGTCACATCCATCCCTGGCACCGTTGGGTCATTGTCAGCACGGGGCAGGTCACGTCTCAGGTCACGAAAATTAAGAGATGTCAGTGTGGCACAGCGAGACGGCGGCAGAGCAGCAAAATAGGCTTTGGCCTGTCTTTGCAAAGCTCCAGTCCCACTCAAAGAAAGATCACTCTGGCGATAGCTTAGGGTCGCAAGCTGTGAACGCAAGGATTGTGCAGAAGAATAGCTCAATAGCTGCATTCTGCTTGTTAGTTTGCAGAGAAAAGATAAGGAGAGTGAGATAATGCCCCAGAGGCGGTTGGGGATAAAAGACTCTTTGCTCGCCACAAAAGGACATAATAGCCCAACCCCAGGCAGGCCGGGGAGAAGATCAAACCCACCCCTGCGTGCAGACCCCAGTTTTGAACGCGCCCTGCCCCCAGGCGAATACAAGTGCTGAGAATCTCCCAGCCATTGGGAAGGGCTTGGAGGAGACAGTCATCACCCGCAGGCCTGAGCCCCGAAATGGGAGAAACCGTTGCCCCCTGAGCCTTAAAGGTCTCGGCTGTCGTGTGTAGGAAACTAGGGAACTCAGTGAGGACCGATGAGCTGCTCCCCTGTGCGTGAGCACCCCACAGCCAGGCGCCTGGGGAGTCTCGGGGCTCTGGCCTCAACATACACCGGTCCCACACC